ATATATATATATATATATATATATATATATATATATATATATAATATAAAATCTATATATAATAATATAATATTAAATATATTATAATATATAACATATTAAAATAACATATATAAATCAATATTTATACTGACGTTGTCGGTTCATCAAGGAACATAACGGTCGGATTATTAACTAATTCTAAAGCAATAGACAGTCTTTTTTTTTGTCCTCCACTTAATCTACCAGTTTGAGTGTTCATGTGCTCGCGTAAGCCTAAGGTAGTGAGAATTTCTTTAATCTAAAAAAAGAAATCTTTTACATTTAGAAAGTAAAAATGTTAATGCTAAAATATTATTGATTTAAAATTAAGAATTCAATACAAGAATCATTAATTTTTCTGTAATAAATAATTAAATATGCTAATATAATTTTATCGTTTTATCTTTAATTAAAATTTCTCTAAAACATTTATTTTTCTTTAAATACAAAATATTATAATACATAATTTTTCTTCATAATAATACACACAGATACAAATAAACAATCCTTTAAATTCAAAAAATTATTACAATCTTCAATTTTTATATTTTTTGAAATAAGAATTTGTTGATAATATTGACTTATGAAATATGTTGTAATTTTTATCAAGATTTTTTTAAGATAAACAATAATGAAATTTCTAGTGAAATTTATATATTAAAAAAAAAATCGAAGTTTTAAAAATTCAATACAAAGAATATAGAATCTAATTAAATATTTTATTCAAAAAAAGCGTCTTAAAGCCTTTCTTGAATAAATAGTATAAATACGTATAAATAATATATAAATAATATATAATATATTCAAATGTGTTATGACAAAAATTTCTTTATCTTATTATATTTCCATAGTTGTAATTTACCAACGATGCAATAAAAGATTGAAATCTTATTAATTGACCTCGAGAATAAATTGTTACTTACTATCGCTTCCTTTTCGTATCTGGGGGTGCTCGTGGGCAGCTTGAGGTCAGCTGCGACTGTCATGTTCTCGTTGACCGTCAAGAGAGCTTCTAAACAGTCATCTTGCGTGATATATGCGCTACATCTGTAATGATTACATGATACGTATTACATGAAACAATAATGAAACAAAACAGAGATAAAAATACATAAAGTATATAAAATTTAATTACAATCTGTTATATAAATAATGTCGACATTTCATATCATAATTCATTAATAATTAATAATAAAATATTTCTAAAAAAAAATGGAATAAATATAATTCAGTTTAACGAAATATTAAAAAAAAAAATTAAAAAATTTTTAAAAGTTAAAGAATAATAAAAAAAATTATAAAAGATTGTTAATAAAAATTAAAATGTAATAAAAATAAAACTTTAATATAAAAGATTAACATAATAGAAGAAACTTTGTTTTTATAAATAACAAAAAAGAAAAAATTTATATAATAAAAAATAGTTCACGCATGGTCAACTTTGAAGATTTTGAAATATTTCAAATCTATATGTCAAATTTATTACAGTATGTAATAATATTTAAAATAATTTAATCTTTAATAATACGAAAATATATAATCATATTCACCAATAAAAAATGCTTACTTTCGAAAAGAATTTATTTCTCGGGCGTGACCGTTAATGTTGATATTTCCATCAACACCAGTCGTCCTGAACCCCGATAGGATATTCAACAAGGTCGATTTTCCCGCTCCGGACGGACCCATTAAGGCGATTAAATGTTTTGCTGGAAGTCTTCCATTGATTCCGTGTAATATCTCCTTTTGACCTGCAACATTAATTATTATAACTTATACATCGCATATATATCGCGCATGAATTGTAATAATGAAAGCAATTATATGTGATTATAAGATATATGCGATTGACGTAAAAGAAATAATATGAAAACACAGTATCAAGATATATATTTATTCAAATTAAAAACCTAATAACAATGACGTTTAATGTCCAATGTTTTTTGTCAAATTTAAGAAGTTAAGAAAACTATTGCTTAGATTTGTAAACAGTTTCTTTGATTGATGCAAGTATTAAATTTATCCAATATTTAATGCAATATTTAATTCATTCATGATTAAAATTAAGTGATTAGAAAAGCAGAAAGAATTTCGTAATTTTGTCATTCTCAATGTTTATAAAAATCAAAGTCAACAAATTAATAAAATAAAGTTATCATGTACATAAGTAATTTTTATAAACAGATTAGTAATGATAAATTTTATATATAAGTATAAATAAACAGAAGTTGTTATTTATAAATATATGCACAGGAAATATGCATAATATTAACATGCTAATCAGGATTTTGCTTTATAAACTGTTTATCACTAGTTCTATTAATTCTACTACCACTATTAATTCTAAAAATGACTTTAAGATTTTAATATGTATATATCTATGTATATATGTCAGATATATTTCATACTAGAAAATAGAGGAAAAATATTTAAAGTATCATATATATACATATTTTATGTTCTAGAATATAATAATGTATGTATAATATATTTATACATCTTAAAATATATGAATAATTCTTTGATTAATTTTCTTTGAGATTTCATAAAAATAATTCCACTTATTATGTATCTGATGTTAATGTTGTATGTTAATATAGAGAGTAAACATGTATTATTGCATTAATTATATATTATATAATAATAATTTATATATATAATAATTTATATATTATAGAATATGTAATATACTATGTAATAAACGAATAATGCATAATAATACCTAGATCTTTATAAGATTATATTTAGATCTTTATAAGATTTGATGTAAATAAGCGATTTTTATTTATTATGATCTCATTGCAATTGTGCAATTTAAGGTTTATATTTTTAAATGATGCAATCTCACTATAAAAAATATGAAATGAGGAATTATCGTTACGAACTTGCAATGGCATCGTTTGTCTAGCTAGTCTAAACATCAAGCAGTATGTGAACACATTTTCAATGTATGTATCTCCACATATATATATATATTAGAAATACAATATTAAATGTACAATATTTAATTCTTAAGTCTGATACACATGACAGATAGCACAATGTATATGATCATATGATTCTGCTAATGAAAATTATAAAAGTGCAAAATCATCATTGCGAACTCGTAATAATATTGCATCTCTTGTATGTACTTTATAATGATTTCTTTAGTTAAAATGTTTTATCATTTAAAGCTTTGTCATTTATTATATATTATATAATTTATTAAATATTTGAGAAATTTAAAATTTTATCATTTGCTCTATACCGTCTTTATTAAGAAAGAGAAATTAGGTTAGATCTGTTCGTCTAAAAATGCCTAAAGATATAACATTTATTTAAGCTAGAAATTACAAGAAATTCCATTTAATTTATGTAGCAGTTTTGAATATAAAGTAAAAAAGTAAAAAATAAAAAAAAAATGATGTTTTAAAATTAATCTTCAAAAATTATTTCTTTTAAAACTTTTGAGAATTTTTCATAAATTTTTTTGTTTAGATATTATATTATATATAATTTTTTAATAAAAATATAAAATCAAACATTTTTTTATTTTTTAAATAAATATAATAGTTATTGCTTTAACTTCAATAATTCCTAGCTTTATTGATTAATATTTCAATTATTTATTGAAAAAAAATTGTTATTCTAAAGAAGCAGATGGAAGGAAAAAGGAGAAAGGAAGCGTTCAAGCTTGAAAGAATACTGACCTTTCTTGCAACCGAGTGACACCGTATACGTGATGTTTTCAAAGGCAATATCAACGGTATCCGCCGGGTCGGTTTTCATGAAACGTTCTTCATCTTTGATTTGTGCATTTTCTATTTTTTTTGTTGGTTGTTTATTTATGTAAAGCTTCGTATCAACTGTACTTGTCTCCTGACCATTACTCACTTCGTGCATTAATATTTCCATTGTTGAATATCTTGCACGAACTGATAAAATAGCCGGAGAATATTAATTTTCAATCATAGGCTTTCAGTTAACATAGACCAATAAACACCATATAGCTGCAATCAAAAAAAAAGAGATCATTATTATAAAAAATATAGAGAAAATATAATGATTATAGCAAAATTAATATTTTAATTTAGTAAAATTTTTTAAAAATTATATAAGAGATTGTTGTAATTTAGTTTAATAATTTATTTAAAGTTAATTGCTTAAAAAGTTTTTATTTAACTTTTATTTCTATCATATTGTTTATTTAATTATTAAATAATTACTAAATTATATAATTAAATATTAAAAATTTGTTAGTTCACTACCGCTTCTATGTATATTATTTTTTTTCATTTTTTTTTTATTGTGAAATGCTATTTTCCTTTCTATTTAAACAAATAAAGATCAATTTTATTTTTTTCAGTTTTATTAAATGTAATCATAATAATTATAATTTTTAATTAATCAATCATAGAATTATATTTTGTAAGAAAATACATATTTATTTTCTACAAAAATTAATAACTACTGATTTATTCTTTAAAGAAAATACTTTAATATATAGATATATTTAAATAATTGAGCTCAATAATTTATCATATGAAAAACAGGGAACATATAAATCATATTTTATATTCTTTATTTTATTCATTTATTCATATTTTTCTTGTTTTTATATAAATTCTATTCAAATTAAAATAATATCTCATAAATTAAAAATAAATTTCTTGTTTATAAATTAGCATTGAAAATAATTTATGTAGATTAGAAAACAATTTGCATAGATTAAATTGCAAATTATATGCAAATGATTCAAAAATATAATTGACCTTCACAATTATTTCTTTTATATATATTTTTAAAAAATGATTAATATTAATAAATTATACTTCCTCATTCTATTTTTATTTCAAATATCAAGATCAAATAAAATATTCAAAATGATCAACATATTTTATTTGACAAATTTGCCTTAAACAAATAAATAAAAAAAATAAAATACTTTATAAAATAAAAATCAGAATGTAGAATAAGATATAAAGTAAATATAAAAAACGGAGAATAATTAAAAATAATTTTTATATAATTGAATTGATTATATAATATTTGAATAATACGTTACTTCTAAATAATTTATAAATCAATATATGAGATTTATTTATGAGAAATTAAAACTTAAATTAAAGTTAAAACACTTTGGATTAAATATTCAATATAAAATTACTTAATTTATTTTTATCTTATTATATTCTATTTATTTTGCTTAAGTTATTAATTTCTTTTTTTAATTCTAATAAAAATAATTAATTTTTTTATTTGTTTCTCGTTTCAATCTTCCGTGGAATACAGGATTTCTTAACTTAATTTTCTTGTTTATTTATTTATATAAAAAAATTTACTATAATGTCAGAATACAAAAAGATATGTATCTTCACATATGAATTTTGAAAGGATTACAGGAAATTAATCTAATTAAACTTATATGTAATATAAAATGTAATATAAAATTGAGTGAAAATTGAAATAAATATCAATATATATGATAATATGATATTGTTTAATATACTTATATTTTTTTTTCTTATTTTATTATAAGAAAAATAAAATAATAAGTACATATAAAAATTCAAAAAAATCTTTTTTACGTTGACATAATTTAACTTGTATTTTAATTATGATAAGTTTCATAAGGAACATGATAATCGATCGAATATAATTCGACTATTCAACATTGTTACACGATGTGTATGTATACATGATATAAATGCAAGATTCTTGTTATCAAATAAGTTCATCAAAAACAATATGATTAATAAAAATCAAGCAAAAACTAAACATTAATCATAATTAGGTCAGATAAATTATTCCATAATTATCAACGAAGAAAATTATTGGATTAACTTATTAGACTTTTTTTGTTATATTTTTTCGTGCATTTTATATATATATATATATATATATATATATATATTATGTCGCAAATAAAGAAAAAAAATAGAAAACAATAGAAAACAAAGAGA